CATCATCATCATCATCATCATCATCATCATCATCATCATCATCATCATCATCACCACCAGTGTCCACATGCAGCCTGAGGAATTCGGAGAGATAAGAAAAGGACAAGTACCTGTACCTGTTTGAATTGCTCCTCAAACGTCCAGTTGTGTGACCGGTTCTCGCCGTTGGGGTCATCGGGTGAAGGTGAAGGCTGCAAACTCCCCATGGGCGAGTGGGGCGTGGTCGGGGCCGGCGGGTAGCGCTCCACGGGGGACGGCGGGCTCGGGAACGCGCTGTGATTAGGCAGGAGCGGGTGGAAGGGGTTGACCGCCTCCAGTCCTTTCATCTCCCTGCCCAGTAGATGGCCGCCCAGCGCCAGGTGGGCGTGGGCCAGAGGGTGGCCCAGGGGGAACGACGACAAGAAGTTGGCGCTGTTGTGGAGGTGGGCGCGGAAATCCTCGGGGAACGCCGATAGTTTGTTATTTCCCATGACGTCACCGTTGCTCTCCGGGAGCGGCGGTCCGTGGCTGTTGATCCTGTTGCTGCCCCCACCGCCGCTGCTGCCGACCGAGGGTGTGCTGGAGCTGCTGCTGCTACCGCCGCCACTGGCGTTGCTGGGTTTATTGTTACCAACACTGCCGACATTGTTGTTATTGTTACTGTTACTGATACCGCTACCGTTTTTGTTACAACTCCCGTTGTTACTGTTGCTGTTGTTGTTGTTATTGTTAATACTGTTCAACATGTCCGCCCCGTTGGGAGCAACACTCCCTGTTGTAATGCTGCTGCTCATGCTGTCAATGATACCACTACCCCCTCCGACAGAGCCCCCGTTCGTGTTGGCCACTGACGTCACACCCACCACGGACGCCGGTGCTGTGGGTACTCCGGGGGGTTTTCCCGGCAGACTAACCCCGCCCCTTGCTCCGCCAGTGCTCAGATCCAGCTCCCGCTCTGACCGCTGCTGCATGCGCTCCTGTACCAGGTGCATCTCCTTCTCCCTGGCGCGGAGCTGGGAGTTGTGCAGGACCAGCGCCTCCTCGTGCTCCTGTAGCTCCCTCTCTATCTCCTCCCTCTCCTCCCTCTCCTGCTGCTTCAGCTTCTCGTACAGGACCCTTTCGGCCGGGTCCAGCTTGTCGGCGCTGAGATCTCCCACCACGTCTCCCCCCTCGCTGTAGGTGTCTGACTCCGCGTCGGAATCCATACCGGTGCTGCCGTTTGTCTGCAGAGAAATTATGTCCAGGGAATCATGAATATTACGACTCACTACTCTTTGCATACGTGGAATAACATCAAGAGGCTAGACTAGTATAGAGAAAGGTGCAAAGTGTTTGTCCGTGGCCTATACCCTGGTGCAGTGTGAGAAAGGCCATGATGATGATGACTCTTTGTATTGAACGTTGTGGACTAAAGTTGGTCCTCAAAGCGGATAGCAAATACCAGGTATTAATCATTACTCTTTGCATTGGAGGTCGTGGAAATGTACTAAAGTCAGTCTTCGTAGAAAGTGACAGAGACCAAAGAATGGACTCCAGAGAAAATCGCAAGAGGATTAATTTTTAAAGCGGAGATATGAAAAAGAGAGAATATTATATTATTATTAATTCTTGTCTTTGAAGACAGTTCAACCCAGGGTAATTTAACTAGAATATACGCTGAAATGGAAACGGAATAATAGTAAATCATGGGCCTGTGCAAATGACTTTTTTTTAGAATAAAAAATAAAAGGGAAAAAAATGAAGACGAAAAAAACAAAAACAAAAATAAAATCAAGCCAAACCAACCCCCCCGCCCCGTCAAAGTTGCTCTTGAGACTTAATACGGGAGGAAAATTGGTCAGTCTTTGAAGAACCAAGAACAAAATACATTAAGATATAAAAGGCATCAATGTTAAACGGAATAACGGCATTTTTTGGGAAGGATTTGTTGTATAGTAACAAATAAATCGTTAAGCAATTAAAGCACCAAATATGCTTGGGAAAGCAACTAAGCCATAGAAACAGATCACTTTGACATTAATATTAATTATCACATGGAGAAACAAAGAAATATGAATACATTATTTATTGTTTAAATTACATTCCATAAAAGAACAAACAAAAAAAAGAAATAAAAATGTATTAATAAACAAATAAAAACTGAAACAAACAAATAACTAGGCACATTGATGAATTAAAAAAACAATGGCTCGTAAGAAAATGAGTGTGCAAGCAAATGGCTTGCTTAATCTTAATCAGTCAGTCGCGCAAGAATAGTAAAAAGAATATCAAGGTAAATTATTTTTAGAAAATAGGCTAGGTACAGAAGGAAAGAACACAGAAAGAGAGAGAGAGAAAGAGAGAGAGGGAGGG